CCGAAGAAATGATTGACAGCTGGGAAAAAGACCTAATTTTAAACAGATTTTTGTTTCTGCCAATCTATGCATTTGCTAGCCAAACTGCTAGTGGAATGTATAGGTGAAATTTGATGCTATTTAAAATGAAGATGTTTTGGGCATAACAATTGCCATTTAAGGCTATGACACCCTTTCTCTGGATCACTGCCTGGAGGAGCTCACATTAGTGGAGCTGTATTTGCAGGGCAATAATACAATGATTGCTGACATTTGCTTTTAATGGGACCAGTTTCTCGAATCTTTATAATTTAATTAGCTGAATATGTAGGGTGCCATTTTGTAGCAGCTTCTCTGCCTGTCTCATGCTAACCTCTGACTTTATATCTGAGGGTTCACTTCACACCGTACTTATACCTACAGGTCAATGGCTTCCAGCATACCCTTTTTTCGATTATCCCTCCTTACTCCCCTTTTCCATTCCATGACTTTCTTTTCTGACTCTATCATATAGTCAGAACTGGAATATCCAGAGTTTTTTTCCCTTAAAATAAACTAACTTTTATTGTAACCCCGTGTGGTATTAAAAACAAAAATCAATCAACCACGAATAGAACAACATTCACGACCATGGTGTAAAGTAAAGATAAACAGCAGCTATATACAGTCTACGAGTTTTGTTTAAGACGTTTTTGAAGACCTCACTTGCTTTACTTTATTCAATGCTACCCACTTTATTGCTTCCTCTGTTACACTTATTTCCTATGTTCTGGTTGGATGGCGTACAAATGGGTCGGCTTCTCATTTATTTGCACTTTATTTGATCTCTGAATTACTGAATTTAATGCTTCTAAAAGTATTTTTTTTTTTTTAAATAAAGATTTAAAAAATATGTAAAAGACAGTTAAAGGAATATACATGAAGAACACAAATATTGACCTATGTAGACTCTAAAATAAGTGTGAAGATTCTTTTAATTGGTTACAACGTAGTTTGTTTTACAAGCAAGTGAAGTTTCATTCATTGTTTTAGTGTGTTTAGTAACTTTTCCTCAGAATGATCTTTTTCTTTATACTCCAATGCTCTTTGAGCACTTTTCATTCTATTTCTGCACACCAGTAATTGTTTTACCACAAGCGGTTAAAAATGTTTGACGGTTTTGAATATACACACGTCATCAGTGACATCACAGAATCTCGCTTTCGTTCATCTCACTCTCCAATCAGATTTCTGTAACAAATTTCTTTGAAATTTGCCTTGATAAAAGTCCAGGGGCACTGAAAATTTGTATATTTATATGCTAAATAAAGCACTATACTGAACTTCATAAAGACTTGTAAATGCACTCTTCTTGGGACATATAGAGTGGCTGGAGGTAGCACCGATGCGATTTAAAGACCAGGAACAGTGAGTGCGGGAATTGTGTATGTATATATGTGTGTGTGTGTGTAAACATGTAATTATTAATATAACACATATATTATTATGTAATCTATAGGTATATGCATATATGCAGAATACTCAAAATTTAAAGTATAAATTGTAGATTTTTTCTAAATCAGACTTGTCCTCACTGACCCACACACCCCTTTTCTTTGACACACACGCTGCAATACACAATCATTGACCCACACACTATCCTTCTGACACATACACTGCCCACTGACACCCATACCCACAAACACACTCTGACCCATAGGCACACAAACTGACACACACTGCCCACTGACACACATACCTACAAACACAATCGCTCACACCAATATACACACAAACTGACACACGCTGACTTGCATACTATACAGTCCCATTGCATCTTTCACATTACCACAATGCCTTTATAATCCTGCACACTGTCTGCAGCTTGTCCTCTAAAGAGTGTCGGCTTTTGGGATATGATCTTGCCTTGTATCCCATTGGCCACTCCTCGCACTTCCCTTTGCCTAGTCGACTTTGGGCAGGCAGAGGGACTAGCCCTCCTGCTTGTCCATGTCATTTTTAAAGAAAAATTGAAAACTCGCTTTCACGGTACCTGAATCTGCATGTCCTCTGGGTTTGGAGCAATATAAATTTCACATCCCTGATGGATAGTACATCCATTGAGGAGTGTATATGGAGCATTGGGCACATATACGCAAAGCAAGGCTTTCATAAGGCGCTGTGGCTTAGCTGGTTAAAGCGCCTGTCTAGTAAACAGGAGATCCTGAGTTCAAATCTCAGCAGTGCCTATCTTTTAAATTTAAAGTCTGCACTGACCATCCAATTATTCTTTCTCTACACGAGTTGTTCTAGCAGAACATAAAATAAAGTATAGAATGTGTGCATTTTAAATGGAAAATATTAACAGAGGCATATTTAATGTTCAAACCCCTCTAAAATATTCAGATTTTTAAAATTAATTATTTTTATGTTAAATAAGATGGCCTGCTGGGATTTCTGATTTTAGTTTTAGAAATCGTGTTAATCATCGAGTACCGTATATACTCGAGTATAAGCCGGCCCGAATATAAGCCGAGGCTCCTAATTTTACCACAAAAAACTGGGAAAACTTATTGACTCGAGTATAAGCCTAGGGTGGGAAATGCAGCAGCTACTGGTAAATTTCTAAATAAAATTAGATCCCAATAAAATTACATTAATTGAATATTTATTTACAGTGTGTGTATATAATGAATGCAGTGTGTGTTTGTGTGTTGTGTGTGTATATAATGAATGCAGAGTGTGTGTTTGTGTGTGTATATAATGAATGCAGAGTGTGTGTTTGTGTGTATATATAATGAATGCAGTGTGTGCGTTTGTGTGTTGTGTGTGGATATAATGAATGCAGTGTGTGTGTTTGTGCAGTGTGTGTAAACTGGGTGAGGGGAGGGCATTTTAATTTTTTTAATTTTAATATTATATTATTTTATTAATATTATTTTATTATTATATTATTATTATTTTAATATATGCATTATTTTTTTTTTTAAATGGTTTTTTGTCCCCCCTCCCTGATTGTTGCCTGGCCAGGGAGGGGGGACAAAAAAAAATAAAAAAAAAAAATAATGCAAATATTAAAATAATAATAATATAATAATAAAATATTGTTATTAAAATATAATATTAAAATAATAATATTACTATATTATTATTATTATTATTAATATTTGCATTATTTTTTTTAAAATGTTTTTTTTTGTCCCCCCTCCTTGCTTATTGCCTGGCCAGGGAGGGGGGACAAAAAACATTTAAAATAAAATAATGCAAATATTAAAATAATAATAAAATATTGTTATTAAAATAATATAATATTAAAATAATAATATTACTATATTATTATTATTATTATTATTAATATTTGCATTATTTTTTTTAAATGTTTTTTTGTCCCCCCTCCCTGGCCAGGCAACAAGCAGGGAGGAGGGACAAAAAAAATAAAAAAAATAATGCAAATATTAATAATAATAATATAATAATAAAATAATGTTATTATTTTAATATTATATTATTTTAATAATATTATTAAAATAAAATAATATTGAATCCCTGGTGGTCCAGTGGCATTGGCAGTTCAGTGGGGGGGCTGGCAGTGAGCTCTTACTTACCTTCCTGCAGCTCCAGTCAGCTCCCTCCTCCTCCGTGCAGCTCCTTGGTCAGCTCCGTTCTGCTCACAGTGTAAGTCTCGCGAGACCCGCGGCTCTCGCGAGACTTACACTGTGAGCAGAACGGAGAGGAGCTGTACGGAGGAGGAGGGAGCTGTCTGGAGCTGCAGGAAGGTAAGTAAGCGCTCATTGCCAGTCCCCAACTGGACCGCCGGGCTTGTAATGAGCCCGGCGGTCCTGGTCTGTATTATGGCAATGTAAATTGCCATAATACAGACTGACTCGAGTACAAGCCGAGTGGGGGTTTTTCAGCACAAAAAATGTGCTGAAAAACTCGGCTTATACTCGAGTATATACGGTATGTATAAATCCCCTGAGTAGATCTGTCAAATATAAGTGATCCAGCATAGAACACTAGCTATTATTCTTAATATACATATAAATATGGCTCAATTTTCTATAATCTGATTAATAAACCTACGCTGTCTGCACAACTGTCTTTTCGTATGGAAAAGATTGGACATTTTATGGAAAATATCTCTTTGTGTGATCCTTTGTTTAAATGTATTATATGCATGGACTTATCCTATTTTCCACTTTAAAGGGAGACTGTTTTGGAAAAATGACACACCTTTTTTAACCCCTTAAGGACTGGACTGTTTTTGCGATGTTGTACATTTGCGACCAGGCATATTTTTACACTTTTGTGGTGTTTGTGTTTGGCTGTAATTTTCCGCTCTCTCATTTACTGTTCCCATACAAATTATATATTGTTTTTTCAGGACAAAAGGGGCTTTCTTTACATACCATTATTTATATAATCTCATGTATTTTAATTTTAAAAAAAATTTAAAAAATGATGAAAAATTCTTTTGCAAATGGTAAGCCATCATGGGGGTAATTCTCATTCCTGGGCTACCATACGCTCTCAAAGGCAACGTAACCAACCTGGCCATTTTTAATGTAAATATATTTGACCCATATATTTGACCTTGTAACTTTCAAAAATGCTATAAAACCTGTACATGGGGGGGTACTGTTTTACTCGGGAGACATCGCTGAACACAAATATTAGTGTTTAAAAACTGGAAAATGGGGGGCGGGGCTTGACCAAGATGGCGGACGGTCGCAACTTGCAGGAGCTCCCAAGCAAACTACTTGCCCAAGCATCGAATCGAGACTCCTGCCGCTCACTATCTGACCCAAAAAGGGACTTACCTATCGCAGACGACGGCTGGAGTGTTCCGGTCCGAAAAACCGGGATGCCATCCACCAAAAGCCATGCAGAGCGGTTGCGGCCTAGCGAGGGCTACGGGCGGGAGAGGCGGCCGATCTCCTGTCCCCGATCTCCTCACCCAGCAGGACCACACAGACCCCTATTTCCCCCCCCTCTGGGCCAGGGGGGACATCCCGGTCCATACTCCACTACCTACAGAGTGGATGGCCCCTAGCCAACGCATCGGAACCACAGTATATAACCAGACGCACAAGATGGCGGACTCACCCCCCTGCCACAGCCAAGCAAAGCGACTACACACACAATGCAGACCGGTGTCCCAGGGGGGCCTAGAGGCAAAGCTCGATGCTATCCTGAGCGCCTTCTGGGCGAAGCTGGCGGCAAAAACAGCAAGTCCCCAACGGGAACCCCCAGCAAAAGACCAGAGGCAGGCAGCACGGAAGGGCCGCGGATCACGAAGCGGCATCCAACGGTGTCCAGTACCCGCCACTAGTGGCAACCGCCTCCTTGGGCCGGGAGCCACCAAGAGAACAGCTCGCTGGCAGCAACCAGGTAAACAGAGCATGCCACCCACAACTACAAGCCACCAACTAGGGCGATCATCGCTGATGAAGGGGAGGCCCCCACAGTGGCGATCAAGCAAACGACGAGGTACAGCGACATGCAAACTGACACAGGGGAAGGTGCAGAGAATGACCAAAATTGGACCCCCTGAAACCACCTGGCCTCACTGGCCCCCACGTGAGCTCATGGCCTTGAGGGACTGCCTAGCAGATTACCTGCACTTCCCGATATCAGGAGTCGGTTGAACATGGACTGAACATGCCCTTCCGTGCCTAAGTTACCAGACCCGCTATACACCAATAGCAGCCACCTTACCTGATTGGGCAAACTGTTAAGTGCTTTAACCCATGGTTTTTACCTTGTTCTATTCTATAATCAGATGACCTAGCTAGCATCTCATATTTTCCACTCTTTGTCGTTTGTAGAGTATACTTCATACTTCAGCACCCACCTAAGCTCAGCCTGTAACATTCAGCTTCTCGCTCACTGACAATACAGTAGTACTTGCGCACTTACTAAGCTAGTCTTATAGTGTTTCACTACAATATGTTCACCCGTATTGAGCTGGATCACACATACACTTTTATTGGCTGAAGAGCTAAGGAGTTCCCCATATCTGCAGCTCTCGCACACGATTTATGTCTCCACTTTAACTCCTCATACAGATTCTTATCCCCAATATTATAAAATTGTGCATGTATAACTTAATACCCCAAGTGTAACATGTGATGTTTGCTTCGAGGATTGCCGTTGGGGTACCTTGAAATTGTATGTTATAAATTTTTATGCACGGCAAAAAAAAAAAATTTAAAAAAAAAATGGAAAATGTATCACAACAATTATATCATCAGTAAAAGTGCTGTTTGTGTGTGAAAATGCAAAAAGTCACTTTCACTGACAATATCATCGCTGTGATATGTTTTACTGTTTTGAATCACTAATATTTGTGTTCAGCGAAGTCTCCTGAGTAAAACAGTACCCCCCATGTACAGGTTTTAGGGTGTCATAGAACGTTACAGGGTAAAATACAGTGCTAGCAAATTAAATTCTCTGGACTTTCGGCCTGGGTTGGCAGGCAGGTCCCTCAAATTGCAATCAATAAAATTACTGAATTATGTAAAAATATTACATAAATACGCACGTAGAATTTAAATATATATGCATATTTATATATTTGAAGTCTACGTGTATATTTATATAATTATTTATGTAATTTTGTATATGGACATATGTATATTTCGTATTATTTTTATTTATTTATATATACATAGATATATATACAAATTAATTCTAAGTGTATTTTGATATAAATATATATATTAATTTTAAAATACAGTTAGAATAAAATTTCATATAGATATATATTTTTTTAAAATTTTTATTATTTAAAAAATGTTTTATTTAATTTAAATTACTTATTATTTATATTTTATAATATATATATATGTATATATATATATATATACAATATATATAGTTATATATATTATATATATATATACGTGTGTAATTTAATTATAAGTGTATTTTTATATTAATATAAGTACATATTAATATAAAAATACGCTTAGTATGGCATTATATATATGATATATAGACATATATTATATAGATATAATATATGTCTATATATCATATATAAATATACACATATATAATTTTTTTATTTTTAATTAACATTAACTTTATTTTTTTTATTAACACTAACTTTATTTTTATTTTTTGATTTTACACTAGCAGGGAGACTGCCTGTCAGCACAGGCAGTCCCCCTGCAGGCAGACACATGGACACCTATTGTGACCATGTGATCGCTGTGTTAAGCGATCACATGGCCACAGGGGTCCTAATTCAGTGTGGGGAGACTGTCTGGGCTGCAGGCAGTCTTCCCCACACTAGGAGCCACGCTGATCGCCGCCGGGGGAACGACGGCGATCAGGTAAGTACATTGGACCGTTAGGACGGTTCAGGACTGTCATCGGTCGGCAATGTGAAAATGCCGTTGACGGTCCTGAACCGTCCTCGGTCCTTAAGGGGTTAATGTTTTGTTCAGATAATGCATTAAAAATGTGCAAATAAAAATACCATCAGCATTTCTTTAAAAAAGACGCACAGTTTAGAGGGACTGCCTGGAGCTACACACAGACCCCTCCATCACTGCGAAGAGAGGTTCCAGTCAGGAATAGGTCATTATGGCATAAGGGGTCTATTCTTACCCCCGAAATCTCTGTCCAGCAGTGGTTTATGGGATACGTAGTTTATATCCCAGGGACAGGTCCACCCATCTCATAGGATAAGTGGAACTTATCTTTAAACTAATAGCAGCACCATGATTTACGGAACCTGTTTTTTTATTCAACTGGTCAACGTGTAAGAATTGTGTGAAACAAACTATATATTATTGTGTTTTTACTACTGTGATGCACCCATGTAAATTATTTATTTATAAAATATTTTACCAGGATGGATACATTGAGATTTTTCTCGTTTTCAAGTATGTCCTGGGTTCACAAAACATTGCATTGATACAATAGGGTACAATAAAATACAAAAACAATATTAATACACAATAAATACAAAATTTAACATAGAACAGGTAGGAAATATATAATCAACCATGACACGTGCATTCTTAAAGGACTTTAGGCTTGGGGAAGATTTTAAAGTGTGCGAGAGGTCGTTCCACAATTGCGGCGCTCTGTAGGAGGAGGAGGACCGGGCCGCTTTCTTTTTGTATTGAGGTAGACTAAATAAAGTGCTGGTAGTGGATCGGAGGTTATAGGAGGTGGGAACAGCTGGGGAGAGCATTCTGCTCAGGTATGGTGGGAGTTTCCCAGAAATGCTCTTAAACACAAGGCTGGAAAGATGAAAGGTGCATCTGGATTACAGCGACAGCCAGTTTAGTTCTATTAGCATGTCACAATGGTGGGTCCTGTAATTACATTGTAGCACAAATCGTCAGAACGATTTATACAATGTATTGAGTTTATTAATGTGGGATTGCGGTGCAGATGCATATACTACATCCCCATAATCAATGATTGGCATCAGCATTTTCTGTACAATCTTTTCCTTTACTGTAGGGCTTAGGCAGGATTTGTTTCTGTACAGGGCACCTAGTTTTGGATAAAGTTTAGATGCAAGTTTTTCTATGTGGAGGCCAAAAGATAGATTGGGGGTCTAACAACAGTGTGCTGTTTGAATTTGTTTTGATGGATAGGTGGGAATTGTGTAATTTGTGTAATTTAGGTACAGTTCCAAGGATCATTGTGACCGTTTTGTCAGTGTTTAGGAAGAGTTTGTTTTTTGCGATCCACTCTTCTACCTCTATAAACTGGTCTTGGAGCACAGCCTCATGCTCCGGTAGCTCGGATTTGCTCGCATAGATTACTGTGTCATCTGCGTACATTTGAGGATTTGCAGACATCTATTAATGTGTGTTTTTTATGTAGGTTTTTACATTCTCTATCCCTGGGCCACTATTCCATTTAATCCAAGAATCCCTTACTTGGCATTAGCCCCTGTGTTATTAGGCATGTGCATGGGGAAAATTTTCGGTTCGGTTCGGCATTCCGAAATTCGGGACTTCCGCAATTCGTCACTTCGTCAAAATTACTTCGTATTAGTAAATTTTGCCCCTACTCGCTATACTGCGAGTAGGGGCATGTCTATTAAACAGTGAGCAGCCTATGGCCCCCCCTGCCCGGCCCCCACCCCTGAGCGGCGGGTGGGGGCCCTAAAGTAAAATGATGTGGGGGGGACCTATTGTCCTCCCCCCGGCCCCCACCCCTGTGCGGTGGGTGGGGGCCCTAAATACTAATAAGGGGGGGGACACCTAATGTCCTGCCCCCTGGTCCCCACCCCTAAATGGCAGGTGGGGGCCCTACAGTAAAATAATGGGGGGACCTAATGTCCTCCCCCCTGGCCCCTATCCCTGAGCGGTGGGTGGGGGTTCTAAATACTTATAAGGGGGGGAACCTAATGTCCTCCCCCCGGCCTCAAACCCCTGAGCGGCAGGTAGGGGCCCTAAATACTTATAAGGGGGGACCTAATGTCCTCCCCCATGGCCCCCACCCCTGAGCGATGGATTAAGTAACCAATCAGAGAGTTATGAGTCAAATTACACAGCGTGGAAAAATTCCAAAGAACTTTCCCACGCTGTGTAAAATGACACAGAGCACTCTGATTTGTGGATTTCAAGCCAACCAATCAGAGTGCTGTGACAGGTAAATGTAGAGACTTACCTGTCAATCTCTTCATTTACCTGTCAGAGCACTCAGATTGGATGGCTTAAACCCACCAATCAGTGCTCTGAGCCTAATTGCAGGGCGGGGCAAGGCTTTATAAGCCTTCCCCCGCCCTGCAGAGCTCAGTCTGCGCGGAGCCCTCGCCGGGTGAAGATTGATTTTTTTTTTTTTTGGGCTATGTTTGTATACTTTTTATTTAAAGTTGGATACAGTGTAACATTCTTCCACTGGGTAAGTATATTGGTTCTTGGGAAATACTGTAATTCGGTAATTTCTGAATTTCGGGTGCTTCAACCATTCGGTAATTCGGCAATTCATCTATTCGGACATTCGGAAGTACCCGAATATCTGAATTGCCCAAAATTCGTCCGAATTCACATTCGGACCGAAACGAATTGCACATGTCTGTGTTATTGCCCCTCTCTATTACCTGCCCCCAATGTAAAACAAAACAGCTGTCTGAGCAGACAAACCTAGTTTGCTACAGATTCGCAGACGTTCAATAGTGTTGGCTTCCATAACCCTTATTGGGATCAGTTTAGTGAAAGAAAGGATCTCATGCCATCTATATTGGATCACCCAAGAGTGACCCCTATTAATGTTTGGGGATTTCTTTTATTTATTACATCATGATTATTATTACACATAATACGGTATATAAATACACAGCACTTAGGATACAATCTTGTCCGGTGACTATTAGATATCAAAAGTAACTGGTTAAATTAAAGAATATACATTTCTCAAACAATGTGAATAAACGTCCCTGTGATCTGTACTCAAATACAATGATTTTCATAATTTGCTACGTGTTTTCTCTCCTAATATCCCCAAATTTGGCGATTTTTGCCCTGGGCTCTTTGCAGATTGTCCCAATGCCTGCTCTTTTTTTATTTTGGCAGTGGAAATAGAGTTGGGGAAAATTTTGACTGATTGACAAATGCAGCGCTTTGTTTCGAAACAAACAAAAACATTAACATCTTTGCGGGAAGTGTTGCTG